ACATCATTTACAGGAAGTGGTCGTGATGACTCCCTCTGTGCCGGGGGAAAAAAACATGGTGGGGGAGTGACAGACACACACAAGCTCACACATGCATCTTTCTTCCAACAGAAATACAATCAAGAGTACGAGCTAGGGTGGTTCATTGGTTTGGGTTCTGTTTGATATAGATTTATGGAAATGTTGTGATAAAACAATGTTAAGCTTCCTTGATTGAAAACGTAATTAGCACTGCACTTTATTGCCTTATGTTCCATTTTAGCTTCAGTTTATGAAAATACAAGATTACATTAATAACCTAAGAAACACACACACTCAAACTGCATACGGCCTCCACATCCTCCACCACAAGAATAGGACGTACAGTATGCTATCGAAAAGGCAACACCCAGGGAAAAGAAAGTCCAACAAACACATACAGCTGCTCATAAAGCTGAATTTGTGTAACGAGATAATCACTGTTGTGAACTCAGATGAACCTGTAAAGAACTTCATTTAACTTCTCTACTCTTCTGGTAGCTTTGAAAGTCAAAGGAAACTGTTTAGAGGTATGTTTGTGTGCAAATAAACATGTACCAGAACACATGTATTTGCTCCATTGGAAATTACACCCTTGGGTCCCTGTAGGAGACGGCCTGATTTAAGTCTCGCTGCATTTTTGTTGAACAAACTGATTATGAAATCTGAACTTCTCTTTTGTTTAGATGTTGTAATACTTGGTTCTTTGTATTATTCGTTGTGGTAGTGGTCATGCTTTGACAATGACTGCTGGTTAACCTTGTGACTGAGGCTGCTTATTTTAGGACTTTTGTATGCCACTGTTAGGTTTATGTCAGCCAACCAAAAACTAGCAGACAAGACTAACTTAAATTGGTATACATTAGTTTTAATTTAGCCTTCTTGCTCAGCAACTCCTCCCATCACTTCAACTGAGACTGTGATTAAACCCTTGCCTCAGCTTTTGTTATCTGTATTTATAATCTGTTTCTGTGTTGTTTTTGCTTACAGCTGTGATAGCTACCACCACACACACCACTGTGGTTAACACCGCTCCTCAGCAGTACCCCCAGCAGCCAACCTCAGCCGGACAGCCTCAGACCTACCAGGGGGGCCAGTACCAACCCTACAACCACGTCCCAGTGCAGCCCGGTTATGGTGCCCAGCCTGCGCCCCAAGGCTATGGACCACAGCCGGGGCCCCAAGGCTACGGAGCACAGCCGGGGCCCCAGGGTTACGGAGCACAGCCCGGGCCCCAGGGTTACGGAGCACAGCCCGGGCCCCAGGGTTACGGAGCTCCAACCATGCCAACACCACCCTACCAAGGACAACCGTTCACAGCCGTACCACCACCATCATACTTGGAAGCCGGTGAGTGTGGATTTTTGTAATAACCTAGACAAAGAGTTACAGGGTGTGCCGCTGCCAAAATGAATATAGAGGAAACACTGTGATGACAGCCTGTTGTCAAACTTCCCTTTCTGTAACACCATCCCAGTGTAATTATCATCACCATTTTGTAACACAAAACAATGAAACCAAACTAAATGTATCCTTTTAAAAGGGATATGCAAAAGATGGACCAACGCACAATTTACTGTTTTAAAAACCTGGATGCATCTTTGAATTTACTCATCCAGAAATGTTATCTTCCTCTGAATGGATTTTAGCATCTTGTGTCTATTTGTTTCATTAGTATAGTTGTCTGTATACTTAATACTGAATTTAAAATGGGTACATTTTGTATTGTATCTGTAGGCAATGGCTGGAAATTAAGTTTAGTATAATCCAGTTTATTTTCATGTAACACACACATATATAAAAAAATACGGTAGACAAAGTTAGAACATTTGAGCAAAAACATCTTTGTGAGGATGTCTGCGCTATTAAATATCAAGTCATGCCAAAAAGGTTTCAAGAGTAAGACATACAAGTTTACAATGAAATACAAGACTAAGTAGTGTGTGTTTTTAAAACAACCAGCCCGCTGCAGAAAAGTACCCATAAACACAGGATAATGACCCCTTTAATAAGACTGTAGTGTCGAAAAACACACAAACCACATGATGTATTTTGGGGCTTCAATGTAGCTGCAGTCGGAAGTGCGGGTGGGATAAATGCTGGGATAAAGTCGGGTCATGTCTACATGTTTTTGAATAGAAAGTTAAACGTTTTTGGTTACTTTTGGTTGACAGAGCATACGTTTAACTTTACTGTTGGAGCATTTGCAGCACTTTGTCCTCATGCCATGTTTTCTTTTTGTTTACAGTTGGTCCCAGCTACCCTCCCAACCCGATGCCTTACAGCCAGGCTGCGTTCTCCCCCGGCCAGCCGCCGTACCCTCTGCAGCCCCCCGGCCAGCCGCAGCCCACCGCTCCTCTCCCAAACAAGGACTTCCTGGTCCAGCCCGCCTACAACCCAGATTTCAATGGATAGTGGGCCCCAGTCATACTCTCTCAGCCACTTAAAACGTGCTGCAGCATTTTTCAAACTTGGCAGACCTGGAAATGTGCAATCTCTAAATGGGATAAAAAGATTGTTTTGTCTGTGTGTTTTGATTATAAAATATGTTATAGTTGTTCTGTAAAAAGGTTGCCAAGTGAAAATGTTGATGTTATCGGCTCCTGTTGCATGGACTTACAATATACAAGTGGCACAATTGTTGTTTTAAAAAGAAGAAGAAGTTATTAGTGACTCAATCTTGGTCATTTTAGTAAATTACAAATACAACCACTAAGTCTCTATCCTGGCCCGACCCCACAGAACCTGCCTGACCTCTTCATCCACCATCCACAGTGATGGTGGTCACAGCCATTATCTCATTGCTTTCTTACCTTTATTTTAGGCACAAGTCCTTTGAACTTTTTTTCCTTTACTTTATGATGCTTTAATGTGTTATTTGGGAACAAATCAGGTCCAACGTGTCACACTTGTCACTAGAGGTGTCCTTGTGGAAAGTATACCTGTCATTGTTAATGGGGTAACAGGGCTTTTGAACCCAGCAGCAAAAGGGAATGCTCAAGTTGATTAAACAAAAAAAGCCTTGCTTATGTTTTCAGTTACAAGGGACACATCAAATTGTTCTTTAATTTTTTTACTCAGGTTGTTTATCTTACAATATGTTTTTCTGAATTCAACTGCATCTGCAGCTTTGAATTAAATAACCAAATGAGCTCTGTCCCTTTTTTTAATTTTCTAAACATCAACAGAAATACAAATGTTATGCTTACAAAATGCAGGAAAGAAAACCGTGCCTTCTTAGCCACATTATGTTTGCATCACACCAAGTGTGCATGTCATTTACAACTGTTTCAAATACTATGTTTGAGTTATTCATGTTTGTTTGTCACATTGTTTTTGCCACATGCAACTTTTCAACTTTCTTAACTGAACTGTGTACTTTATGCATCTTTTAAAGGTCATACTTTTTTTTATTCAGTATTGTGTTACTTGCCTTGTCTTTTCAAAGACTGCACCAGCATAGAAGTAAGGGATAAATTAGTAGTCTTTTGTTTTATACAAAAACAAATATGCCTTTCTTGCTTTGCCTTCTAACTTCTGCTTTCTGAAATGACTTGAACTTTTATGCTAAAATTACCTTTTGTCTTGTGACCCAGCTGAACCTGGAGAAGTACGGTCACAGTTCATGTGATGAGAGCATTTGGTCTTTTGAGCCACCATGACTTTTCTACTTCCTCTCTTTAGACTTTAGTCGTGGTCAAAGAACTAGTACCAATAGTCCAATTCAATGTTTCATTATAAGTGAGTGTCACAGGTACAGGTATCAGAACGACCATCACTCACATCTATGCTGTGGCTCTTTTGGTTTTACAAACTTACATATGACACATGCCAGTCAATTATTGGTGCCTAATGTCCTTGTATATGTTTGCTATTTGCAAAACAGTTAGTCCATGAAGAATGAGCATGTGTTACTTACATTGATCACACATTTGTCTGTGTATTACATTGTGGGCTTGCCTTTTGTGTGAAATCTTCCTTTATAAATGTGTCCTGCCTGTGATTTCAGTCAAGTGTTGATTCTTTAAGAGTACTTTAATATGGTTGTTTGTATTTGTATGTGGACTATATCCTTAGTGTTCATAATGAAAGACAAACCAGCAGAGATGTACACTGATTCCATCTGTTTTTCCCCTTGCAAGAATAATTGTCATTGATACTACTCTGACATTATGTGTACATTACTTTTATGTGGTTTAAAACCCACCATTCCTGCAAAAATAAATAAAAAAATATATATTTTCCGTTTTACCCCAACTTTGGTTATTACTTTTTTAGAATAGTAGAATAAACTATTTAATGATTACATATGAAAATACCAACCAACACTAAGACTATGAGCAATTTAGTTTAAGTAGTCCAAAATCACAACTTTATTCTAGAGTGACTTTACAATCTGTAAAATATGTCCAAACTCTGTCTTTAGACCCTCACACCCTCAGAAGAACAAGACTGAGAAGCTTACATTATTAGCCCAGGCTAAAGCTGTTCGTAATGTCTAGTTAGTTTTTCAGATATGTTTGAACTGGACCGTTTCAACCATAGATATGGTTTCAACTGTGACCAGATGATGGCGCTAAATGAAAAGTTAAAGAAGATCACCAGAGGGAAAACCACATTTGCATAAAGGTTTTGAATATAATTCCGTCTGATCTATCATGACTTAAAAAAGAAAGAAAAATAGCGTGAGATTACTTTTAATGTTTGTATTTATGAAAAAAAAAGTATTGTATGTAGTAGGAAAGTACTAATGCATCTTCCAGAAGCTAAACCGGAAAAGATTTCAAAAATAAACGACGCTCTTGCGTAAAAGGAAAACAACAAACAAGTGCATCGTGTACAACGCATATGTAGATATTATATAGTAAACAAGAAGATTGTTTCCATGGGTTGTTCGTATAAAAGTACATTCCGAAAGAAATCAGAAAATGTTTTCTCAACAATACATATAAGATATTTTACATTGAAGAGATATAAAGTTTTACTTCCGGATCCACTGCCGTGACTTCCGTGTTGTTAACAAGCTACAACTGGTCGGCTACAAGGCCCGGTTTATTAACTTTAAAGTTTTTAAAACTGTCAGCAACCGACGGGATGATCGTGAATACGGCCCAGTGAGACCTTCAATTCAGTATTCAGGTCTGTATCGACTGTCTGTATGTTTTATTGAAATGGTTTCTCATAAAGAAAACAACCATGAAACATGGTGTAACTTGTTCGTTTTTTTCGTATTGTTGTACCGTTAGATGAGATGCTTCAGCGTTGTTTTCACCCTCCGTTAATGTCTTGTTTACTTGGCTTTTATGTTCGTTTCAAATGTATTTATAGCTGGGTTAAGGTAGTTTAGTCAAGAGTGTGACGATGCTAACAGCCTGTAGCTAACAGCCGTTCAGTTTGTGTTGGTGGTTAGCTAGAATCAGAATGCAGTTTATTGCTATGGAGCTTTTACACATTCAAGGGATTTGCTTTGGTGTATAGTGGTGCAAATATGCACAACATAAGGAAATAGGTTGTAAAGGAAGGTAACACATATAATGATCATAACAAATAAAACGATTAAACATTAAAAAGAAATAAAGACAAGTATTTACACCAAATATAAATAAACTGAATAAGCTAACAAACTTAGTACAATGAATTATGACATACTCCAGTATATTATATTTTAGAGTGGAGGGCTGTGCAGATGTTCAGTGAGGTAGGTAGGGATAGGCCTATATAGAAATGTGCAAAATATATGAAGAGAGATGAACATGACAACAAATAACAAAACGATTGAAAATAGGTGGAATAATGTAATGCATATCTTAGTTTTTGTTCAGTGTTACTTAATATGCTCAATATTTATTTATAGCAGTCTGTAGTAGCTATAGCTATTACTTACAGCTTGTCGGTTTTCCTCATAATTGATTTTACCTCATACTGTAGCTGTAATCAATGTTTGCAGTCTACCTAAACAAGCTGTGAAGAAAACAAACAAACATAAAATAATGAGCTATCTCAACATCCTAAATTAGGAGAACAAAAAACGGTTCATATTTTTCAGTCATTTAAAAGTAGGTCAGAAATAATGAATGATAAAAAGACAAATGTGATCGACAAAAATCTGAGAGTTATTTCTGTCATGTCAGTTCAAAGATTGCATGATTACATTCTTGACTTTTTGTTGACACTGATAAGAAAGCCTAGTTGATTTTGATAAAACCATAAATAACAAATGTTTGTACCGCTTACATTTATCAATTATTCTTCATGCAACAAAAACTCTTAGAACAATATGTGTGAAGTGTTACACAATAAATAGCTGCAAGTTAATAGATTTTAATCATTTTAACTGGCTTTCTTAACAGTAAAGGTCAATGTGAGCTTTACAGCTCATATATCCAGTGTTAAACCTACATTTCTGCTCCTTTTTATTGTCTTATTTATGCATAAAAAAGCTGTTGGGCTAAGTTTCAAAGTTCAAGTTGTGAAATATGTTCCATTAAATGTCTTTTTTGTGTTTCAGATTTAAGATCACACGCAGGACACCCTGGATGGCCCAGGTGGTAACAGGTAACATCCATTGGGCCATATTGTGAAACATCAGTTTGCAATGGCCAGTCACTTCCGCAGCTACATCTGGGACCCCGTCCTCATTGTGAGTCAGATTGTGTTGATGCAGTGCATCTACTACAGCTTCCTGGGCCTGTGGCTAGCTGGAGTGGACAGTCTGGTGCACACCAATCGGTCCCTGGATCAGATCTTCAGCTATGGTGTAAGTAAACAGATCTCTACCAGCAGTAGGAAAAATGTTGACTCCTAAAATGTTACTAATATTTGCTCTGCTTTGGCAGCATCTTGGTTTTTCATCGATTCAGGGAAGGCTTTCAATGATGGCATTCTTCTTGAATTCTCTTACCTGGTGAGTCATTTCTTAAATCTTTTTTGTAAGTCCAAAAACATTAGAGCTGTGACACCTTTTACTAAAATGCTGTTGTACAATGTTCTCATGATACAATGGCATAACAGGTTTATGAACACCTGCCCCACTAAAGGATTTCCACCAGAAGGACTTTATGTGGCTAAAAATAGTTAACATTGAAATAAAAGATCATTTTTATAGATTTGGCAAGACTTTGACATTTACAAACTTGCAGAGGCTATTTGTACACTCACAAATCATGTCTGAAACATAAATGAGCATGACTGATTACAATATTTTTCTCTGTCTAACCAATCCTGCAGCGCCCTTGGCCTGTGGTTCTTCATCCGTCGGGGGAAACAGTGCCTGGACTTCACAGTCACCGTGCACTTCTTCCATATGATTGGTTGCTGGATCTATAATGCACACCTTCCAGCAGCCCTGTCCTGGTGGCTCGTCAATATAGCCTGCATGGCGCTGATGGCTGTCCTAGGAGAGTACCTGTGCATGCGGACTGAGCTCAGGGCCATCCCAGTCAACACTGGACCCAAATCTAACCTGTGAACTTTTCTGGACACCACGCTTTGTGGACGTTTAACCCCTGAGGAACTTGCTCGGAAAAAGTATTTCACAAATGGAGCACCTTCATCATCAAAATGTTGGATTGTCATCTCTTCAAGTGATTCACCAGATAAACTGATCTATTTATTCATGACTGTCTGCTCAATGTTGGACAGTATTAACTCTGTAGCATATTAAGATACATGTTTTATTGCTTATAAAAGCAGACATCAGTTTACACATTTCTCTGAACCTAATGACTCTACATTTTATTCTTAGTAATTCCTTTTTTTGTTTTCATTTTAAGTACATCAGCATGAGCATCTAATCTGCTAATTTTAAGATTTGCGATATTCCTTATTTTTTCCATTTATGTGAACATTGTGAAATCTGACAAACTTAAACAAGGGACAAAAATGCAACTGAATAGCAACAACAACAGAAATGATCCTCTCTCTTTGTGTTGGTGTGATAACTTGCCTCTTGGGTATACAAACTTGACCATCGTGTTCAAGGATACTGTGGTTTTAAAATTAAATAGTTCCAGTCAAATTTCACTGCAATTTAGAGATGAATGTGTGCAAAGTTACCGACAACAGCATTACATTTTCTTACAGCTGTATTTATAAGCAGGAACTGATACATTTCCCCATTCGAGTTATTTAAGGTGCTGCTGGATTGCTTTCTGTTTCCTCAGAGCTGCCAAAAACACACGACACCCTGCATTTATTTGCTAATAAACTGCATGGTTGGAGATATTGATAACATATTATCTGTCCACTTATTCTAACAACAAGTGATGCGCTTTTTGTTGCTTCCTGGGGCTAGATAATGTAGCTGTTTTGTTGAGTTTAACTTATTGGTTGAGCTTGACTTGGCCAAACGCTCTCTGGGAGGCAGTGGTGGAGTGGATATGTCTAAGGCTTTTATTGTGAAAGGGAAATCATGATCTGACGGCAGAAAGAATTGCTTTCTAAAGGGAAGCTTCAGATAACCTTTGAAAAAAAAGATGTTTTTTTTTTTTTTTTACAGCCATAATCAACATTGACCTAATAATAAATGAAAGCAAGCATGCTCTATTTTGCCGCTTTTTTAAAGTTAAATGTTAGGAAACCAGTGCTTTGTTCAAACAAATATACTTTCGTTTTTTCTAAATGGCTTATTTTTCACTTCCTGGATTAAGTTTGTACATTTAATATTGCTCGATTTAGTCATCATTGTCAAGTCTGTAGAGCATGTTGCACAGTGGGTGCTGTTTGTGTCCGTCTCTTTACGTCATGATGTATTATGCAGACATAGTGCCCACTTCGGGGACAGTTTGTCAGCCACCACCAGCTGTGCTCTGACAGCAGACTGTCTGTTTGTGACGATGTGACGAGAAAAGAACAGAAATGTGCAGCACGGGTGGTTTCTGGAACAGCTTTCTAATTCATCATTGGCTTTTAAAAACCTGTCCAAATGAACTGCCTTTTACTTGAGATGTACAGGTTCTGTAACGCTTATATTTTTATTCTGTGTGGTGACTGAAAGGGTGGCCAAAGGCAGTGTCTGAAATTGGGTTTCTAAAGTGTAGTATACAGTAAAAGCTGCAGGGATTGATATTTTAAAGTTGTATAATATTTAGACATTTGGGGAAATACACTTTTAAATGAGAAGATCAAATAACTTTTAGAAAAAGCTAGCCTCTTACACCCACTACCTCTTAAGCGTACTCATTAACACATTGTATCTTTTTAGATTTAAACCAAAGTGTTAAAAATGCTGTGGTGTTACCTGGGTTACATTCTTTCTTTGATGGGTTTGGTAATAATATGCTTTTATGTAAGTCTTTTCTTAGGTTTTCTTGCAAATAAACTGATTCTTAATGGTAGGCTAAGCTAATCGGCTGCTAGATGTATTGCTCGGTATTCACACAATCACGAATGATATCAATCCTCTCGTTTATTTTTTCCAGTGCAGTCCCACCATTTCTTCAGTTGCTGGAAGTTTTCAAGTGCAATGCTACCTTTGTATTTTCACACAGTTACATTCTTGTAATGTGTTTACATATCTTTCTGTTCTGGAAAGATATAAATACATGTAGAATTAGTAAGTACAATTACTTTTGTGTAGAAGCTGTTTAACAAAAGATCACCAGTCAGTATGGAAATATCATGTAAATCTAAGTCAGGAAACTGAAGGTGAAAAAATAATTGGCCATTCTGCTTTAGATGTCAGAGACAGGTCCTCTAATGAGGGGCACACCACAAGCGTGTCTTTAGATCTCTGAAAGGTTTCCACCCCGATCCATCCCTTTCCCCTCTTCTGGAAGTGTCCAGGTGGAGAGAAGCAGATGGGAGCTTGCTAACGAGTTGAAAAACACCGGCCCCGATCCTCATTACCAACACTTTGCTTCAGGGGGGGCTAAAAACAGAAACTCTAGTAAGTGAGTGGAACAGCAGCGAGGACTGGCTGCATCGATTAAAGGCTCCACTGTTTTACCACTTTCTATATCTTTAGTTTCCACCGTTTTGCTTAAGGTGACGCACACACCCACACTGTATGTTTTAAACACGGTGCTTTATTATTACAAACACATTACTTTGCCATATTGCTTTATACAGTTGTAAATAGTGTGCTTCAGTAAACTGAAAACAAAACATGGATGCTTGTTTTTACATTCAGAAGTTCTCTCCATGTTGGTATAATGCTAATGATAACAGTTGTTTTCATGCTTTCTGCACACAAAGGGATGAGAGTCCTCTTTTTACCGTGACCGTACATATTGCTCATGCTTTGAGGACTGTTTTTGTCATTCTCAGTACCAGACACACACAATGGTTGACATTATGCCATCACTCGTGAAACATGAAATAAATAGAAACGACTAGAACAAACATGCTGGAAGAGGTGGAGGTGGGTGGATTCAGGATCTGCAAAGGATGCTATAACTGCATGCGCAGAGCAATACCACTGCACATGTAGTCCAAGTTATCATCAACACACTGTTCATTATTATGAAGTCACTAAAAGTATCATGCATTTTGGATCAAAGGTATAACATATTCAGGAAATCATCCATATTTTTGAAAAGGCCTATGAGGACCGTCAAGATTAAAAATAAATATGCAAACGGTGACACAGTTTTTGAAGAACAAACAAATACAACTAATTGATACTTTCGCTCATTCATTTTCAGTGTGCTCAGAATCTATGATGAGCACTGCGATAAAACATCATATTCATGTGAGGTGATTTTAACCTGAACATTGATTTTGTATTCACCATTACAATTTGTGATACATCACACAGCCTATTGGCTACCAGTGTTACATGAGTGGAGATCTTGCCAGTTATTTTTGTTTTAAGCTGTAACAAAGATGCTTTTTTCTGTCGAGATTCAGTCGTTCTTGGCTGCTTCTGAAGTTTCAAATCATGCCAATGTTTCTCAAAGGAATATAGATTTAAAGCATTAAACAGATAACTTGAGCAGCACAGTTGGTAATGTATTTTGTTTGATATTGTAAATATGCAATTCATTAATGGGTAAATCTGTAATTGAAATACAATTGATACAAAAGTGATTGTATAGATATCTTACAAAAATAAGCAATTGTTTTGCTGTTGCATAATATTCTACTCAATTGGTGAGTGTTTCAATTGAAATAAATGATGTGTTTTAGTACTCATAAATATGATTATTTGGGGAGTTTTCATAATATATCGATTCAATCTCTGCAATATATCCACCCGTGTGGAGTCTGTATGCCATACTGTGTTTATGAAGTAGTTTAAAGTGATGTTTTGGTGGTGTTTAGTGTCAGGATGTTTTTGGTGTCTTTATAGCAGCCATGCAACATCAGCCACATTGAGCCAAAGTGTTGGAGGGGAAAAGTGGCTTGATTGTCACAAGCACAAACATTCAGCACGCTTGACAACAGAATAAAGGGGCTTTTCACCTTTATCTGGATGGTGTTTATTCGCTAGCTTTAGTGTAATAAAGTTGGAATCCAGTCAGATTAATGTCTGGTTCCATCTTTTTCATGGTTTTTCATCCTGTTGTTTTAATGACTGATAGTGACATATGTATGGGGATATTGCTGTATTTGTTTTTTGCTGAAATGCTGCTTTAAATGTTTTCTTGTTATGTGACAGGTAATTATTGTATGATGGATTGTTTTTATTTATACAAACTCACTGGGGATTAAAATCTAGCTCTTGTTTAAAGGAATAGTTCCACTTTTTCAGAAATACACTTAAATGTGCTTTCGTGTGACAATGGATACCACCTAGTTGTAGACTAAAGCTGCTATTATAGTTTTTATTGTTAAATCTGTACTAAGTTGTAAAAAGTTGTGGTTTTACAGGGATGTTTCAAACTATTTATTGGCTATGGGCAGTTAGAGGAGCTGCTTAGTGCTAAGCTAAACTAACTGGCTGATGACACTAGCATACTTATATATTTAGAATACAGACATGAAGTATACAGTAGCATCGGCTAAGTCCCAAAATGTTGAACTATCCCATAAAACACAATATACAGGAAGAGGGTACAAAAACATGAACACCTTAATGAAAACCACAAATACTGCGTCCTTTACTTGTATGTCTCTCAACAGATACATTTAAGTATAATTGTTCATAGTCTGCATTTTTACAAAATTGCTTCTGAGAGATATATGCAAAAATGTACCTGCACTGTCCTGTACCTGCAAAAAGTCAAACTATCCGTCAATTCTTATTTAATGTAATTTAATCTTATCTAATTTCATCTAAATTACTATAATATAGTCTTGAATGTAATATAACTAATAAACAAATGTTTTCTAATTGAATCCAGTGAAACCTAATCAAAACTAAACTTTAGAACCGACAAGAACCAAACATGATAATAGTAATACAAATAAATATACAATCTTTATTAAATTATATTGCAAAGGTGTTCATGCTTTGTGTCCACTTCTTGAATATCAGTAACCCAGAGCAACAGGTGTGTGACTGACCTGATTACATTGTATCTGAAATCCTTTGAATACTCAAGTCTGTCTCGGTTGATAAGTTGGCTTAAATGTAATTTTCTCAACTACTCAGTTTCTCGACATAAGGGGGGATCAAGCTGAAGTATTATTCATCCAAGCAAATATTGATGGCTCTGTGTGATAATAATCCTTATCCTCTTAAATCCTTGGCTTTAGTTTTGAACTCAAAGGACTGAGCCAGGGGAATGTGAGGCCCTCACCCTCAATCCCCACCATCTATACAGGATACCAGTTGGGCCCGGCCATGATCATCGCACCCATCAGAGGCAGTGTGAGGGCCGCCAGAGGCGAGCTGATGCTGGGCGAGGAGCTGGGGCTGCACAGGTCGAACAGACTTCCCTGGAAGCGCATCTTAGTGGAGTCCTGCTTCAGAGTCTCCCAGATGGAGCTCACCTCCTTCTGACAGTCAGACAGCGCTGTGAGGGCACACGTGTGGAAAGCTTCCCAGTGGCTGTGGCAAACAAAAAGATCATCAGATCAACACTGGCGTCTGTCAAGTGTTTATCCCGGCTCCAGCATGCAGACCTGCACTGTCTGTCGTGGATTAATTCGCTTGCAAGTAATCTATCAGTCAGACGGCCACGATGGCTTCACGTAAGTCAAACTGAGCTTTAATTACCATGGCAACTGCATCCGAGAGTGAAACAATATGATGATATTGCAAGAGGGCAATTTCCGACAGAAGGCTTATGTGTAAATCTTTGTCTTCAATATACAGTGCTGGGGTTGTAGAGTGCGTGCAGTAACAATGATAAAAAACGTCCCCAGAATTTCATTACTGCTGCAGCAAAGTCATAAATTATTTAGTATAGTGGCTCAGTGTCTCAGCACCATTTCTCTATTCTCCCTCTGAGATTGTGGCTTCTGCTCTTTTTCTCTCCAGCATTTTGTGAGACAACTTCTTCAAACTGTGTCCGTCTATATTAATCCACTAAATCATGCCCTACCTCCAATAAATTGAACAGAAATAAAGTTTTGTGTTCGGGGCGGAAGATTAGTGGTTTTCACTTTTTATTCTAACACATCACTTTCAGCTTACAGTTTTGCCTTCTCTGGTTTAATGACTCCATCAGTTTAATTACAACACATACAGGGGTTGTGCCATGTGTGCAAATGCTGCATGCTGTTCACACACTGCCTCACTAATGAAGTTATCATCACCTGCACACGGCTGCCACTCCCGTCTCGCTCGTCACGTTCTCCTGATAGTTATCCATGCTGTCTCCCAGCTCCAGGACACAATCAGAAAAGTCCTTATAAATATTCTCACACTTAGCGCCAGCATCCAAGTCTCCTGACACCATCAGGGACAGAAATACTGCAAAACAGACACAGTGAACGGCTTTATTAGTTATTCATGATAATTCATTTATTGTTATTTCCTCATTCTGGTTCATTTTTCCCTACCATGTTCCCCACATTATTACAGCTAAGAATCATGCCACTTCTGCTACAATAACCACAATATTAATGTAATGTTTGTTTTAGTTGTTTCATGAGGCACAGGTTTTTCATTGCCTTTAGTATGGGAATTGAAATATGTTCCCTTCCTGTCATTTAGTATTCACTTTATACAAATGTCAGTGGGTGTTGGGCTGTGAAGCAGATGTTATCAGACAATAGTTTTCACCACTGCACCCCACACAGTGTTTTACTTTCACATGGGTGTGTAATGCTCTTTTTCTGATTGAAATGATATAAAACATGTCAATACAACATTATGCAAGAGGATAACGCAAAGCAAGCAACACTTACAGACAAAATATTAAGTATAAATATAAAAGTAGCACTTGTGGGACATAAATCGTATTATTTTTGGATATTGCATGTCCATAGGTCTGCACAATAAAGAGACCCCACTATACCGTTGATGGGTGTACTACAACCTCCACGGTGCAGGTCTCACAACCCCCATGCAACACTAATGGAGATAAAAGACAAGATACATTTCTGATGTGTGAAGATAAAAAGAGGCAGTTTTTTGTTTTCATACATCCAAAGTGGCTCATAGTTTAAATAATACCCACGAAGCAGCTTGATATATCTTACCCAGGGCAAACGCGAGTATCCCTCCGATCTTCGTCGACATGAAAAATCCCATATCATCCCATCTCAAGCCAAGCGGAGGGCGCGGGATGCTGCCGAGGCACTCGTGAAAAGCAATTTTAAAAAAAGCGGAGCTCAGTCTCACGGAGCTGCTTATCCGCCCATCATTAACGTGTGTCGGTGTGTATCAGAGATGAGGAGGAGATAAACACTTGGTGTGAGCCTGTGTGTGTGTATGTATGTGTGTATAGTCTTTTTCTGCTCCGGCCGACTGCTGACGTTACCTGCCCCCCGGCGCGCGCTGAGCTCATCTTCTTCCCTTTTAGCACCGGACAGCTCTCACCTCCCCGAGGAGGAGGAACCTCCGTACAACCCTCCTGCAACACTCACGCAACACCGGCAGGACTCTCAGGATGCTCCTGCGTGTTGTTATCATCCACTTTCTCATACTTTGTATCTTATGTTATCTCAATGTAGGAGCTTCACCCTATTCCACTACAGATGCTTAATGCTGTAGCATATCATAAAAGACTGCAGCTATAATATGTTATCAGTCCTGCATGTCCACAATGAAAGTATTGGGTGCATGCCATATTTTACCGTTGCATTGTCTCCTAATTATTTCCTGGGAATGACAATGTAATTAAGTAAATAGTCCTGAGTTATTAAAATGATATAGATTGTCAATTGGGAAAAAATGAATGCCAGTATTCAACGTGTTCAATTGCAAAATGAAATAAAATTAGGATCTGAAAAATATTTAAAGAATCTAAAAAGTAATATGTGAGTATCAACTGATTGGAGATACAGTAGAATAGACTGATCTGTTCATTTTGCACATTTAAACTCAAATACATATGTATTTATCATGTATGCATTTTCACTGTTTTCTGAGGTTGTGTAGCCCAAACATTCATTCGATTGATAAATAATAGTTGGAAACTAATTTCATTTGAAGTTTCCTTGAGCTACATTATCCACTGAAACTGAAGACTGCATAAACATAAGTAGCATAAACCACCGATTGTCATAGAATACAGATAACTGAATAGTAATTAGTAATATTATTGAAAATAATCATTATTGAAAAATACACTTTGTTCACCTTTTTATTGTTTTATTTTTTCCTCCAAAAGTAATGGTATGCAATCTAACAGACGGCATCACCAGCACATAGTAAAAAAAAGAAGAAAAAGGTAAACCAACCCGCAGAAACCTCCAGAGAACACTGTTTTAACATTGGTTGTAAATGCAGCTGCATTGCCCCACTGAAATGCAAACGTTTTTATTTTCAAAAACCCCAGGCTATATTTGTCTTGATGTTAAAAGCAGAAGTGAGGAAAACTTTTAGAATCAATTGCATCTACTGTTTTTCTTAGCATTAATGCTTGGCAGAACACTGCAGATAAGGCACAATGGTGTTTACGAGGAGGGGAATTCATCTCATTCAACAGATGAAATAGCAATGTTTTGAAGCTTCAAAATGCAGAAACAAATATCCAAATTAACCATTTTGACTGGACAACATTCATACAGGCAGTGTCAGATATTTGTAGCGTTTGTAGTTTGTACCGCAATGCAAAAAGGTTAATGACTTATTGGTTCATCTTTCACACACACACCGATAAAAAAGTCCCTTTAAAAATGAGCTGTAGTTCAGTCCTGTTAGTGTCTAAATGGCCTTCCAGTCCGGGATGCTCTCCGGTCAAGGCTCCAGCAGAGCAGCAGGATGAGATCCAAACAAACATCTTTAGCACTTGGCTCGGACTGGAAATGCTCCATTGTAAATGGGAATCGGGTTACTGTGGTGAAGAAATTAGCTTTGAAAGCCTGCTGGACTGTATGATAACGGATGGAAACGGATGGTTTTATTGATCTGTACCAGCTGCCCTCTTGGTCCGTTTTCGTGGAGATGCTTTAGGGGAAGCCTTGTCTGTAACACAGGATGTGAAGATCAGATTTTATTTTCATGGCAATTAACAGTGATATGACCAAATGAATCACTTCTCTGTTTAAACTGTAATTATTTGTAACGGTTGGGGATAAAAAAAATGAACATACTCATGACATTGAGAGTCTCCTGAGGAATCCAGCTGATGTCCACGTCGCTCATCCCACCAGTGCCCTTCTCTATTTTCACTGGGACTCTCTTTTTCTGAAAAAGACAACATGAATAATTTTAAAACCATTGTTTCAACATCCACGTATCCCTTTTTGAGAAGGTTTTAGAGGGAGTTAGGATCCATTTGCTGCTGTAGATATGACAACACTTTATTACATGAAAAAAGACACCAGAGCCTGTTTTAGATATTGTAACTACGCAAGGAATACAACTTGAAGTGGTTACCTGTTACAAATACCTGGGTATCTGGCTTGATGATTGTCTCACTTTTAAACTTCATGTCAATAACCTGCTTAAAAAGCTGAGGGTTAGGCTAGGTTTTTTCTACAGGAACAAGTCCTGTTTCTCGCTTGAGGCCAGGAAAAGGCTAGTCACTGTGACCTTTTTACCTGTGCTGGACTATGGTGATTTGATGTATATGAATGCACCTGCTAATTGCCTGGTCAAGTTAGATGCTGCGTATCACAGCGCACTGAGATTTGTGACAAACTGTAAAGCATTAACCCATCACTGTACCCTGTATGCAAGGGCTGGTTTGCTTTCACTAACTGTACGGAGGCTCAGTCACTGGTACATTTGTATATACAAAGCCATGTTAGGGAAACTTCCATCTTATATCTGCTCACTGATCTCACGGAAAATTGTAAGTGGCTACTGCCTGAGATCGCATGCTGTGGTTTTATTAAATGTGCCAACTGCTAGGACTGTCTTAGGGAAGACAGCTTTTAGATGCGCAGCTCCTCTGTCTTGGAATAGTCTGCAAATTAAATGGAAACAGAACAATCTGGTGCCACTAAATGTTTTTAAAGCTCGGTTGGATGCTACTCAATCGGAAGCTATTGGTACCTGTAATTATGTAAATGATGCTGTATGATGTCCTTTTGTTGTTCTATTTATGTTTTTATGTTTCATGTGGAACTACTTGAGCAGGTCTCCCTTGAAAAAGAGATCAATGATCTTAATGGGATTTATCTGTATAAATAAACGTTTGAAATGAAATGAAATTACATTTGCATTGGTACACCAGTATGCCAAATAAAACAGCTGATTGAAGACTAACACATACCGTCCTCGTCTCCAGGACCTGGTACACCCCAAAGAGCGCCAGAGCCGCCAGTCCACCCATGAAGATGTACAAGAACATTCTGCAGAACAAAAACAAATGGTATTACATATGTTAAATCAATAAAAAGATTTCCAGTGTAACATGGTGTTTTTCCATACCATACTCTGAGAGTGGTGCAATGCTTGTGGATAACTGAAGACATAATGTACTGTACATACATAGACACTATGCAATGCAAGGTAAAATGTCCTGGTTATCTAGGTATAAAATCCTTTTTTTGTAATGCATTTTAGTTAAATACCTGTAGCCATCAAGCTAGTTGAAGATATGAAATTAATGTATCCCTCTGTTTAATATTCTGCGGTTTACTTATTAAAGAATGATGGCAAAAAAACAATATTCAAGTGCACATTTTTATCAAGACCAGTCTAACAAAATCTGCCCCCTAGAGCCCTTTAAAATAACCTTTAACTAATCTAGTATCTGAAAAGAAGATTTGATTGGTTTTGAGATTTTAGGATGGAAAACATTTTGTATTTCTTTAATAATTCACTGGTGACAGTTTCTGCATCTTGCACCAGCAGCACAATTCTGACAACTAATCTCTTTGTGCCAATTTCACACCTCCTTTTTTACAGATTCCTACATGCGCTGCAATAGTCTGTGAAGATTGTAATTGTGAAGCTTTAGAGAGCTGTATTTAGCCTGAAAAGATGATTCAAATAAGAAATAATGGGGTAAAATATTTAGATTTACACATGATTTACATCAAACTGAGAAGCATAAATCCTTTTAATTCATCCATTACTGATTCAATCATTTTGTTGCCACCCTATTGTTTGCAAAGTCCCTTTCATTTCTGCAGTGAAATAGTATGGAAAAGCTTTATTTATTTACCTGTTACCTGTCTTGTTTTAAAACATGTGTCATAATGGATCCGATGTCTTTTAACTGCAAACCAAATCTACCTACAAGAACAACTAAAATAATCTGAACCTGATTTATATTTTCCTAGTAAGTGTGCAGGGTTAGAGATCAGTAAAAGAGAGCCTCACGTTTCTCCGTCAATTCCCTCTTCCAGCTCAGTGATGGTGACAGTCTGGTTGTAGATGGCCGCCTGGAACGTGTTGCCCTGAAGAAATGTAAAAAAATACTAGTAAGCAAAGAACCAAAGCAAATAGATACCTTGGAATAACTTTATGGATTTTTTTAGAAGAGCGACTGTTTTCGTCAGGTATGCGCTTTCATTAATCATTCAAAAGTCGGGCTGTGAGAATACTTCCTCCCATCACTCTACTTCTGTTCTCAAAGCAACCTTAACAGACTTCAAGCACCACCACTAATAATAAATGCTATTCATAAATAAATAATGAAAATCCTTTTTACCTCAGTGTCTAGATAGTTGAGGAGGATAACAAGACCAAAAGGACGGCCCGCCATGGGCTGTGCTGGGATGAAGGAGTACTCGAAGGAGGCCTGAGCCTGGGGCGGCACCACGGTGCTCAGAGGCAACGCTGTGAACTACACAAAACATTTAGCGTTAAAACACATGCAGAAGATAACTAGATCGGATTAGATATACTTTAATGATCCTGAAATGGGAAATAGTTTTGTCATTAAAAACAATTGTGAATTTTTATTCTGAATGTTAAAAAATAAATCATGAAATCCATGCAGGGCCGGAAAATCATATTGAATAATATCAATATCTTTCAATATTATGAGTACTTTGTACCTGCATTAAACTGGCAGTGTACATAATTGTTATAGTGTTTTTTTACATTGTAATTTCTATATTTTCATGGTCTTAATTTAGCAGAATTATGCCTGTATTCTATGTTTCTTTTACCACATACAGATATGTATTCTAACCTGATTTATATTTTAACATACTCTTATACACCTACATTCCAAAAACGTTCAAACGCATAGGCATTGAGTGATTTAAAACACGTCAACAGAGAATTGCATTCTTAAAGTATTTTTTATCAGATTTGTATTAAAGGTGGAGCATATGTGTGTGTAATAATATTTATTTATGTACTTCAGATCAAACTTACATTCTGGATGTAGAACTGGAAGTCTTGTGGGTAACGGAATGAAGCCTCCAACGACTGAACGGTGAAATCCAGACTGCCCTTGTTGGTGAAACCCACCAGGAACCTTACAATTTCATTGGCAGGGAACTCTAAATGAATGAAAACAACAAATAAATATAATG